TAGAATTAAAAAATTTTCATTTAAGATGTTCCTGGCAGGAACAAGGGCTATGTGACTGAATTAGCAGGTTTCTGACCTCCTGTGCAAGTGTGTGCACACTATCTCCAGCACGTAGCCCAAGGAGAGAGGGGGCAGATAAATCCAAGAAAGGGTGCTAAGGTGATTGATACAGCAGGAGGGATGAAGATGTAGTGAGAGAGTAAGGAATACAAAGGAGAAGGAAACTTTCCACGCACCTGTAGCTCAGCTTCTGGGTTTTCGCATGAACATTTTTCAGGATTAGATGTTTGATCATCTCTTTTCCAAGTTCCCAACCATGCCAGCTGAGTGTTTCTGCCACCTCAATGCCCCAAAATATGCTCTTCTTCTCCTTGGCCTTTCTTGAAGATTTCTTTGGATCTTGCTGTGGGGACACTAGAAGTTTCTGAAGGAGGGAGGAGAAATCATTCACTTTTGCTTCTTCATGCCAGAAGTCTCTGGCTCTGGCAAAGAATAGGAGGAGCCACCTTGTAGCAATGCTCCAGGAGTCAGGTAGAGTCCTGACATGAACTCCAGATGCCCTGGTCCAGGAACACTGAGGGCACACCTCCAGGGCCCAGCCCAAACCCTATACATGCTAAACAATGTCATGAATGAGGGGAGCAGCCAAGGGAATTTTTCTAAAGGTTTTTTTTCCTCCCCTTGCTCTGCCAGTAAACCTACCCATGACAATGGCGCCCTTTGCTCTGCCACTCACCTTCCTGGTGCGGCCACAGCACAGATTCTGGAAAGGGCCAGAGCTTTGGGGCTCCCCATGCACCTGAGCGAGCATCTGGAAAACAAGCAGAACAAGTCCTCACATGTGCTGCTCCTGTGTCCAGAGAGTCTTTGTCGCTGAGACCTGGGTGCTTCCAGAGACCTATTCTGGCCCCTCCTTGGGGCACAGGGCAGCACAGCTCCCTGCAGGGCACATCCCACGTTGCAGGGTCCCCAGCGATGTCCTCACTTTGTCAGCTGAGGCCAGCCCTTGCCGTGGACCAGGCTGTCCCCGGCCTGCCACAGCCCACAGTCCCCACTTCGCACCCCCTGCAGCTCAGCCCCCCATAACGGGGCACAGTCCTGCCTAGCCCACTGTAGCCTCACTTTGTCTTCTACAGCAAGCTCCCTACAGCCTTGTCTGGCCCTTTATAGCCGCAGACGGATGCCTGCGGCACAGCCCCGTTCCCTGTGGCACAGCCCTGCCCAACTCCCCACGGCACAGCCTGGCCTTTCGCCCCCTACGGCGTAGCCTGGGCCTTGTGGCGCAGCCCGCCCCCCAGCACAGTCCTGACCGGCTCCGTAGGGCGCAGCCCAGACCCTGCGGTCCAGCCCGGCTCCCTGCAGCCCTACCCGGGCCGCTGGAGCCCAGCCCGGGCCCTATAGCCCGG